GCTGAGCACATTTCAGCACCACGCCTGCCATTTCTCTTTTGCTCTTCCGTGCAGTATTTTCTCAGTGCCTGTGGTGCGGGATTCGGATAAAACCGTCAAGTTCTGCTGCTCCCCCCACCTACAACTGATGTTCTTATTAGGGCTCGGCCCATCTGTAAAACATAAATTTCCCCACCATCCATTTGCCAAGGGGACTGGAATTACCCCAGCGACTCCAGTTTGACAAATTGGCCCCGTGTTAACACGCAGCCACTTTGTCCTAAAAGACAAAATAGGTAGGGAGGAAATAAATGAGAAAATGCCACTTGATGGATGGTCTCGCAATCCAATCGCAGCACGAGAGGGGAACGGGGGCTCCATTTAGGGGGAAGAAAAAAAAAAAAGGAAAAAGAGAATTTAAGAATCACAGCAGGTTGGCTGGAGCTGTAATAGCTCCAGAGCCGCCAGCCGGCATCAATAAAGTCAGCGACAAAGCTCTTGGCTCAGTCAGTCCAGGAATAAACTCCTGCTTCATTTCAGCAACTCGTGTTCTCGTGCCCTCCTTTGCTGCTGATGCCCCAAAATTCCTCCAGCATGGCATTACATTTTCCTGCACTAACAAGCCGTTTAGGACACTGAACAGCAATAGATCTTATTGCCACCGATTCTCTGAAGAATGACTCATGGCTCTATTTAAAACCCTCGGGAAAAGAGGGGGCTCCTCCCGCCACAAGCCTGGCCTCCTCGGTCTGGAGGAATGACCCCCAGCCTGAGGAATCCTGGCTCTGGGATTCCCTCTGTCCCCTGGGCGTGGCCCCCATCTCTCTTCAGCACCGGAGGGTGCGATTCCCCGCTTTCCCACTGATGAATCTGGAGCGTGGAGCCAAAGCAGAGCTCTCACTCTCTTTGCACCACCATCCTCAGGGACTGTGCGAGGCAAAAATCGAGGATAATTTGTTCCCCTGAGTTGCTGTCCCTGCTTTTCTCAGGGTTTTGCATTAGCACTTGTTGCCATAGTACCATCAGCGGCGGCAAAGTTCTCTGGGGGCCTCCTGGGACCCATTCCTTGTCCTACCAGGGCTATGGCTCTAATTCAGGCAGGATTGAGATGGGGAGATGTGGAATTTTCTGCCTCCCAGTCTTTGCTAAAGGTGCTGTCAGTGCGATAGAGGCTGTTCCTTGGAAGCAGCAGCAGCAGCCACATCATCTTACTGCACCAGTAACACGGGGCTGGGCACCGGGCAGCGTGGCAAGAAAGCCAGGAGGGTGTGAGGGAGAGGAGTGGAAATGGTCCCTGCTGTCCCTGATGCCCATCAGTTCCCCACGGGACAGCCCCATGCTGGTGATGCCGCCTTTGCCTGAAGCAGCCCCAGCCCTGACCCTGAAAACAGCCTTTCCCTGTGCCAGAGGAGAGGAACTGGACTTCCCAAGACCTCGCTCCTCACTCCTGGCAGCGTGGGGGGAGGCAGGCTGTCACCCCAGGGCCAGCTCTGCAGCCCTTGGCCGACACATACCACTGACACTCCATTTTGGTGGCTTTTTGGGGACGAAGGATAATCCCTGCTCGGAAAAGACTGAGCTCTCCTGACTTCCAAAGCGAGGAAGAACCTCACGTTTCCAGCGTGTCTGAAAACATAAGCCTGAAAACTCCGGAAAATGGGATTAAGACAAGCCTGCCCTAGAAGGGCATTGTTAGATCTCGTTAAGCGCTTCTGAATTGTCATGCGAAGAGAGGAAGCGTTGCCTTGGCACAGTTACCTCTGCTTTTGTGGAGACACACACACACACACACACAGGGAACTTGCAGGTTGCCACAGCTCCACTTATAGAGCCAACACACTGATAACATATGGGCTCCCCAGAGCTCGAGCTCCTCGTGCCCACAGGCAGATCCCGAGCGCTCCCTCCGTGTCGTATCAGCACAGCTGCCACGTCGGGTGGGAACCCGGGCTGTGCCGGGTCCCTTATCACACACAGCCCGTCACGGCTCATTCGCAGCAAGTGGAGAGAATCAAACGCGCTTTCATCCAGCTTCAGCCAGACAGTGGCTCACAGGCCTCTTTGGGACACAATGTATTTATTTTTGGCTCAGGAGGAGAGATCAGATTGCATATGTGGATTTGATTTAATGCACAGATACAATCGGAACAGCGTGAGTAGAACAAAGGCATTTTGGCTCCATTCGGAGCCTCCTCTCCAAACCGGTCCCCGGTTGTGGGGGGTTGTATTTCTTTAGCAAAAATTGATGGTATCAACAAGTATCAAACAATATCCTCGTTACTCGGGAAAGGTAAATGCTAATCTATGCGAGCTGAGCTCATGTGACTTATCAGTTACTATATATAGTTGTTTTCAGGCACTGATTTAGGGAATCTGGCAGGTTTCCTAAGCCTTTGTACAGACACACCAGTGAAATGGAAAAGACAAAACACACAAGCAAAGCGGGGGGTGAGGGTGGGGGGGAAATCTGACAGGGCCAAAATGGCCCTGAGGGTGAGGGAGGACCAACCCCCTCCCCGCGAGCAGCCACACAACGTTAATTCCAAGTGAGGATTCAGCCCAAACCCCTCTGCCTAAGATGGCCTCTCGCTCACGGCCGTCACACTGACAGAGGGAATAAACAGAATTCAAAGGGCACAGGGACTTGTCATTCTCCTTCACTCACGGGGATGTGAAATGCTTCTCCCAGAGCAGGTATGTGAGCAGAGAAACATCCCCTCAAACCCCACGTCTTGCGTGGGAAGAGACTCCTCCATACCGGGAGTTTGTTTGCAAACATATGCACGTTTTAAAATTGGAGACTCTGTGAGTTTGTGGTGTCTTTAAGGAAATATTCTGGGTAACACGAGCTCGGGAGAAAATAGAGGGAGGAAGAAATCACTGACGCAAACCCAAATTCCTTAAAATAAGGCTTCCCCACCCGAGGTCTTTAGCAGGAAAGGCACAGCCAACCCAAGATGCGCAGGGAAAAATCCTCTGGAGAGTGTTGTCCTGCACGGCCCCCCTGCCCCAAAAGCCTCCCTGCAGCTTCTGTGTGATCATCCCTGTAGATCCCTTTGTGCCTCCTGCCTGAGCCGTTGGCGCTTGGGGATGCAGAGGAGGAAGAGGAGCTTAAAGCAGCGGAGCCTCCGACCACCTCAACTGCCCCCTGCAATCTCCCACACCTCCCGCTCCAGACAGCCCGTGCTCCCACGGGAAGGAAGGAGACACTTCCCCTCCATCTCAGTGAGAGGCGGATCAGCTCCTCGGGGGCTCGGCAGATAATTGCCAAGTTGCCTGCCAGAATTTCCTCCTGACAGTCATAACTTGGAAGCGTTGGGAGAAAATGTCTGCACCTGGGCTGTGGAGTCAGTGTGCTCGAGGGGCAGGGAACGGAGCCTGGACGGGGCAACGCACACCCACCCCAGCTCCAGATGCTCCAGATGTGCGTGTGCAGAGCTGCCCTTTTGCTCTGCTCTGCCAGGAAAACCCAAAAGCTTTCGACTGTCTCCTGCAAACCCAACCGAGAGCGAGACAGCGGGCAGGGCACGCAGGGTTCATCTCCTTTGATCCCTGCGACTACAACTCCCTCCTGCATTTCAGGCTCATCCGCAGGGACCGTCGAGGTCCTCGGTGTGCAGGTGGGGAGAGGGAAGGGGCAAAATCCACGAGAGAGCCCCGGCTCTCCCTAAAGGAGAGGAGCCCGCCATCAACGGGACATCCCGGGGCTCCGCTCCAGGGCTGGAGCCGCATCGGGAAGTCTCTTCCCCACCCACCCCGGGCTGGGTGGGGGGGGTCTTGCTCCCACCGCAGTGCGCCGGCGAGAGTGGGGATACCCTGGGGACACCTGGGACATCCCGACCCCGAGGGACAGGGGAAACAGCAAGGGCAGGACGTGGCGTGGGTCACTCCCCCGCCACCCCAGCACCGGGGTCGGTGACATCTCCTGCAGCGCCAAGCCCTCCGCGCTCGGGTCCGGAGTGTCGGGGCGCTCCGGGCAGGCGGCGGTGCCCGCGGAGTTCAGCACCCGGGACAGCTCCGGCATCGCCCGCTGCGGGCGGGGGGATCAGCTCACCCCCCACCTCCCCCCGGGGCACTGCTCCCACCCGCCCCGGGCACCGATCCCCTCGGGACACTGCCCCTCCACCAGGAACACTGCTCCCGCCCCCCGGGAACTGCCCTCTCCCAGGAAACAGCATCCACAGGGAAAACTGCCCCCCACCCCAGGAGACTGACATTCCGCCCCTACCCCCGCCCGGAAAACTGCCCCTTTGCCCTCCCTAAAAACTGCCCATGTTAAGCCCCCAAATCCTCGGAAAACTGCCGATCGCGGCCCCTGCCCTCTGCGGACCGATCGCATCCGGCACCCGCCTGCTCCGGCCCCTTTCCTTTCCCTTCCCTTCCCTCGCCGGGCAAAGTGCCGGCTGTCCCGGGCTCGCTGCCCGCCGCTCCCGTTGCCCACCCCCGCACTCCCTCCACCTGCCCCTGCCTGCCCTTCCCGGGAAAAATCCTTCCCCGGATACATCGCGTCGTTCCCCCCGGAGCCAGGAGCCCCCTCGCCCCATCCAAACTTGGGGCACGGAGTTGCAGGGGAGGGAGACACCAATTCCCGCAGCTCGGGGGGCGCGGGGGGAGCCGGGCAAGGGGGCGGTGGGCGAAGTTCTCGGGGGACTCCCAGGGCGCGGAGGGGCGAGGGAGGGGGCACAGCACGGCCCGAGGGGGTGCGGGTGGGAGCCGCGTCTCGGCGCGGCCACCCACGACCTGGCTCTCCGGAACGGCAAAACGGCTTTCCCCGGGCAGACCCCACGCGTGTCCCCCACTCCGCGGAGCCCTCCTGCCCGCACCGGCGGGGCGGGGGTCCCGCTGCCGCCCCTCCTTCCCCCGGCCAAGGGCACGGCGCGGCCCCGGTGCCCCGAGGCGGCGGCAGCGCTTCCGACGGGGCGCACGGTCCCGCGGGGCTCCGCGGCCGGTCCCGCACCCGCTGCCCCGCCGCAAAGTTTCCCGGAGAAGCGGCGCCCGGCGCGGGGCTGGGGGGCACCTACCGTGCGGCGGAGAGGAGCCGTGCCCGGCCCCGCGCCTGTGCCCGGCCCCGCATCCCTCCCGGCGCGGCGCTGGGCTCGGCTGGGCTGGCAGGGGGGGAGCCAGTCCTCGCTGCGCCCCTTTATCCCAGCATCACCGAAACGAATCCGCTTTGACGTCCAACCAGGGTTTTTATGGGTGTGGAGCGAGCCGGTGCAGCCCTCATTAGGAGACACTCTGCTCTCCAAATCATACATCTTTTATATAACCTCATTTCCAGCGTGGCTTTTCTTCCCCCTCCCTCCCCTTGCCGGGGAGCGTCGCCCACCCCCCCCAACTCCCCCACCAATTAAAGAGCTGAGAGGCACCCCCCGGCCCCCACTTGTTGCCGGGAAGCTCCGCTCCACTGCCCGGGGGCCCATCTCAGCCTGCCCCGGGGGAGAGGGGGGCTCTGCCTGACCCGGGGGGCTCAGTGGTCCCCGACTCCCTCCCCAGCTGTGCTGCAGCCCCCCCTCCATTCCTGCTCCCAGCCAGGTTATGCTGCAGAAAAGCCCCCTCTTTCCCTGGCAGCCAGCAGCCCCCTCTGCCCACTCAGTGCCCGGGCACACACCACCAAGTCCCTCCTGGATATTCCAGTGCCCCCAGCCCGGATCCAGGCAGCACTGGGGCAGCCCTGCACCTCTGCTGCTGGAGCTGAACCTGGGCTGCACACAGGGGAGAGAACAAAGGGTCTCCTCACCCCACTTCCCCTCCTGACTCTTTTCCTGCCCCCAGCAAGGCCCAGTGCAGACCCAGGCTTGACATCAGTCTCCAGGCTTTGCAATCGCGCTCATTCCCATGGCAACAACAAACACACAATTATAGATATATAATATTATATAAACCAAGTGGGCTCTCGGGCAGGAGTGTGAGGTTCACCTGCTCACAGCTTCCTCCCGAGCTCGGGAGGCAGCTCCCACCAGGGCACAGAGGGGCGGCTTCAGCCTGGCGAAGGAGCACAGCCCGTGGATGCCCGGCAGCTCCGGTGCCACCCACCCCGGGCAGCCCCACCGCCTGCCCCACTGCCTCAGCGAAGGCAGGCACACGGCACACGGCACAGCAGGGCCCTTCAATTACACAACTTCCCGCAGGGAAGGGGAAACCGAGCAGCCCTGCTCCTGCAGGCACCCCGGGAGCCGTGCAGGGGTGGAGGAGGGCAGGGGACAGGCACACGCAGCAGCACAATCGGGGCTGCTTCCCCCGTTCTCCCCGCTCCTCACACTAATCATCAGAGCTGTGTGCACTGTCTGGGGCTAATGAAAACATGATTATGACTATTTAGATGCGGGAGGACTAATCTAATAGCAAGCTACCCGACGACATCTGCTCTGATCCACTGGTCAGGGAATCCTGCCCCGTGGAGGGATGAGTGGGCACACACTGGCGAGGAAGGGCTTTGTGACCCTGTCACAGGCTGGAAACAGTCAGTGCAGCTGAGAAAAGTCCAAACCCTTCTCCCTTCAGGGCTCAGAGCTCTGAGCACGACCTTAGAGCTGCAGGGCTGTGTGGGCTGGTGATTACCAGGGAAGCTGGACTGTTCCCCCTCGGATGGGGGTGCAGGCAGATGGAGGTCCAGCTCACAGGGCCGATGGGTGCGATGGCACCCGTGTGGTGTTCGAGGGGACTCTGCCCTGCCAAAGCCACCCTGGCACACGACATGGGTTCTGGCCACCGGCACCTCGCTGCTCCTCCGCCCCCCTGCCAGGGAGGCACAAGCACAGGAGGCAAAGCCGTGCTGGGGAAGCAAAGCCCGGAGTGCTGGGATGCGGGTGAGCCGGGCTCCCTGTGCCACTCCGGGACACGCGTTTGGAAGTGCAGCTCACCCACCCCCACCTCCCAACACCCCCACCCTGCAGCTGCACCCGCGGCAGGACCCCCGGCCTCTCCACCAGCCCGGAGCTTGGGAACTGCTCGTCCCTGTGCCACGTCCTCCCGGGGTGCAGCGGCACCTCCCTCGCCCGCAGACAACCGAGTGGGACAACGCTCCTTTTCGGATCATCTGGAGCTTTTGCGGCCGCCCGGAAATCCGGGCAAGCCGGGAGCAAAGTGTCAGGACTGGAAGGGACCTGCCGGCCTGTGCTTGTCCTGTGCTCCCCCTGCGCCAGGGAGGAGCCCCAGGTAGCCTTTCCCTCCAGCTGGAAGCCATGAGTCAGCCCGGAGAGGAAGGTTCGGAGGTTCACAAACAACCCATGAGACAGATGTTGGTCTGTGAATGGAGAAGGTGGAGCGAGACCCTCTCCAGCACATCTGCACCCGGCGAGCCCATTCCCACACAGCTCTCGGTGTGGCAGCAAAGGTTTGCGCCTCCCTTCCTCCAGCAAAAATTGTCTGTGGATAGGATGTCTCCACAGGGAACATATTCCTGTCATCCTGCCTCATCCTCCTTGGGTAGCAAAAGCCCCCGGAGAAGCCCCTTCATGCCCAGCCCCGTCCATGGAAGTTGCTTCCCCCCTTCCCACAGCTGGGAGCAAATGCAAGCAGAGCTACCGAGCAAGTTATCCCCCAAAACTGCTCGGGAGAGGGAACAGCCTCTTCCCTGCCCCTCACACAGCTGCTCCCCCTCTCCTCTGAAAGCAGCTCAGCGCCTCTCGCCTCTGGCCATATGCTGCCAGCGGTTAGAGGAGCCAAATATAAACGCAGCAGTTAATGCTCACCCAAGTTTCCTTCCCACCACCCCCCAAAAATCTCGGCTCTTTTCCCCTCTCCTGCTGCCCTTCTCCCTCACCCACCTCTCTCTGGGGAGCCAGCGGCGCCGGGGGCTCCAGCGGGTGCGTGGCAGGGAGCTGGAGCTGGGAATGCGAGGCGGCTGTGCTGCCGGAGCTCCCAGCCCGCCGCCGGGAATGTGCCGCTCAGGATGCTCAGCTCTCTTAGCTAAGATCCTTAGGAAGCCGCGGCCCCGGCACAGATCACACACACAATATCCCCGGCAGCCGCGGCTCGGGAGTTATTCGGCTGCTATTTCCATGCAACTCGAAATGCGTTCGAGGGATTATTGCCCGGGGACTAAAGAAACGGCTAAACATATTTATACTAAAGCTTTAGGAGCCTGTGGAACTGCACACACACACACACACACACACACTCACACACACCAGCTGATAGCGGGGTCTGGCACAGAGACTGCGGCGATTTGGGACAAATCCCAGGATTGTCTGTCTGTGCTCTAGTTTAGAGCGGGCGCCGATGCTGGTGCTTGCCTAGAGGTGGCAGTGAGCCTTCGCTCTTCTCCTCGCCCCGAACGCAGCTCAGGAGGGCCCGGGAAGTCCCGGCCGAGCCGGAGCTCTGCCCGCTCTGCTGGGATGGTGAGGGGTTTGCTGTGGGCATCCAAAAAAAAAAAAAACTGCCCCAAAAAATGTGGGCGTCAAAAAAATGTCCATCCAAAAAAACCAAACCTCAGTACCGGTGTTGAGCCCGCAGGTGTGACCTGCAGGGAGGGGACCCGCTCCCCCCTCCAGAACCCCCCTGAACACACCCCCAGCGGATTCTTTGGCATCCTGCCCTCCGCACGGTGCCCGGGGCAAAGGACGGGCGTTGTTCCAAATCCAAACTGCCTTCAGCATGGGGCAAAGACGGGTTTTTACCAAATCCAGGCTGCCCTGAAGACCTGGGAGCACGTGGCCAAGGCAGGTCCCTTTTAGAAACATCCCCGTGCCAGTTCCCAGCTCCACCAGCCCGTGACATTTTTTTTTTTTGGGGGGGGGAGGGGGGCGGGGAACACTTTGCTCCCCACTTTCCCAAGCTGTAACAATCCCTGCACTACCAGGCAGGGACGTGGCGATGTGGAGCCTTCCAGCACAAACACCCCCCCCCCCCACATACGAGACACCTGTAAACCCCACCAAAAGCCACATACAACTCCTAAAACTCCCTGCAGTGTGTGTGTGGGGGGGGTCAGAGGTGGGAATGTGCTGCTGGGAAGATTCCTTCGGAGAGCGTCTCAGCCTCCCAGGGCACCGAGCGGGTTATGAAGGGTGATGTCTCTCTCTCACACGTGGGCACACACACACACACACACACACAAACGCACAAAATCTAATCAAAAGATATTAGTCGAGGAGTATTTGGCCTCTGGCGTTCAACTATCTCGAGCTTCATACAGACACCAAAGAAATGAAATTATGGGAGCACACAAACAAGAAATTCCAGGGGGATGAATTAATGCCTCAGCGCTGTTAGAAGGCAGAGAAGTACCTGCCCGTCTTCCCTTGCGTTTCTTTCTTCTCGGACTTCAAAATATGAACCTCCCCCCTCCTCTGCCTTTAAAAGTCACGACAGCAACGTTTCCTCCAGCCCAAGCCCCACCACCTTTCCCGTCACAATGGAAATCGCTCTCATTATCATTTTAAGGACACGTTGGAGGGCTGACACAAACGCGCCGAAGTTCAAGGACTTCTTGTAAATCCGGGGGTCTAATTTAGACAGATTAAAAAAAACCCCTCCTGCTTTAAGACCTGCCTTCAACAGCCTGAAAGGGGTGCGAGTCACTTCTGGGTTATTCAGATGCAAACGCTGTTTTGAAGCACAAGTGTCTGAGCCATCCACCAGCAGCTGGAAGTTTGGGGGCAGATGCTTCGCAGCAGCAGCAGAGCTACACGACTCCACTGGAATCAGCAGAATCGACATCATTAAAGCCAGCTAAAACCAGCCAGTCCTCGGGATTTTGTACCATCTGAGTCCCTGTTTCAAGCCTTTCCGGCGGGATCAGGCCCCCCAAACGGCACCTTTTCACCTTCAGATCGATTATGGGCGTAATTACAAAGCAGGAAAATCGCTTCTGTGTCGCCCTTAAGCAGTGTGTTTAGAGGTTTAAATCTATTTTTTTTTTCCCCATGCAGTGACACATTTCAGAGGGCTGCGGGTCAAAGACTCTTTTGAAAAGACCCAAATCCTTAATCTTAAGTGAGAAGTTATCACCGGAGGACCTTGGGGTGGGTGGTGACAAACACAGGAAAGGGCCCTGCGTCAGCCAGGGCTCTGGGTAAATAGGGCCAGGGAGGAGAGTGGAGGGCTGGGAGCAGCCTGACGAGCCTGATAAGCCAAATCTGCAAAGCATTCATTGCAAAAACCGACACAAAGCAAACCCAAAAGCAGAGGAACAGCTGCTGTCGAGTCCTTAATTTCTAAAGAGGAGCAAGAAGAAGGAAAAAAAAAAAAAAAAAAAAAAAAAAAAAAAAAAAAAAAAAAAGCCAAAAA